AGGAAACGCAGAAATTCGAAATTCAAACAGCGACCATATAGAAATATAAATTTATTTTTAAAATAACTGCATATTATCTCCTCGTACCATCATAGATATTATTCAAAAATCATACCATTGACATTAATATTGTAGTCAATTTATATCCATTTTCAAAAAAAAAAAAATTACTTATATTATATTAAAAATAGAAATATTATTATAATTCTTCTGTCATATTTAATGTAATATTAATAAAAATTAATTGATATTCATCGATGTTATAGAATAGCTTTTTTTTTTTTTTAATATTCTGAAAATGATTTTTATTTGCAAGTACGTGATTTCACATATCATTATCGTATACCGCAGTTGATACGCACGTACAAACAAATTTTATGACAATGTGCACACAAATTCAAGCACTTTTAAGTTAATGGACCTAACCTAGTAACCTCGTACATTTCGTTTTTATTATATATTATGTAAACGGAATCACGTTTTATTTTTTTTTCTTCTAACAGTTTAGTATAGTAATGTGTGGGCAAATAAATGTTTGGTTTACGCACTTTTAAATTATATTTTACTGCAAACAAAATGTTTCTCGCTACGCTAGAACTATTCGATTTTATTGTCACTCATTTTATATTGGTAAAAAAAAAAAAAAATATGGTAGTGATAAAATGTTTTTCCAGGTATTTCCTGAAAATGTATCGTTAAGTTATAAAATAAATCATCGAAAAGTCCAACAATTGAACATACACGATAGAATAGCAGAAAGCGTATTGAAATTGTGTCATAATAAATTATCAATCAAAGCCCAATGAGCTTTTTCATTTCACAGTGATAACGCGAAATGTGATTTCCAGAAAAATAATTCACTATGCCAAGCGGGCAATGAAAATTCAAAAACAATTAGGTATTTTATCTCTATGGTAGTAAATATATTCATTTTTTTTTTTCTTTTGAGCGGATTGTGATGAACCCATATGGTAGCTAACCATAACGCCATATCACACACAAATTGCTCATATTTGTCATATGAACAAAAATATTTGACGATTAAATTTTATATTAATCATTATTGAAGTTGTCACTTATCAGTAAAATATGCACATACACGGTTATATATACCTGTGTATCATCTATTTTTCAAAAGGTATTTGCTATGATTGACAAGTATGTTATGAGTATACGCCGTAAATCCTATAATACACCATTGGTATAGTAATATATTAAAATAAAAGTACCCGACTGTTTCTATATTATACCTTTCTATTATTACACTTAAAATAAATCATTTAATAACTTTTATACATTACTTTTTAATAGATGTGAAAATATTCAGTTATTATCAGTTCTTTCGGTTAACATCAACATTAAAGCAGCATAATTTTGAATTTTCTAATATATAAGTTTAATTTATGGACCTGCGCATAATAATTTGTTGTGTTAAAATAATATATTTGACAATTGTCTGTAGTTTACCCGCCACCATTTGATATAATCTAGTATTTTGAAATCATGCGTTTGAATAAATCAACATGTTGATAATTTGTATTACATAATAAACAATGATTTGGTATAGTACTAAGAAAACGATCTAAGTAAATAAGAAGAAGCAAGCACACTAGATCCGGTTAGTTCAATAAAATCGCATTCCGTATAGGACGGATGAGCCATGACTTCGACTTTGATCCTACACCAGTCCTTTCCGTATTTTATATCGTTGTTTTGTATTTTTCAATCGTTGTCCAAACATATATTTTGAGGTCAGCCTTCTGTCAATTTCACTATTTACAATTTTGCAATTTGGCATGATGAACTGAACTGATGTGGATGGAAAATTAGAAATTCGAACTTCATGGATAACGTCAAAAGATCTCAGTGACAATAACTAAAGCGAAGACTTAAACTGAAAAGAACGGGTAATTTTTCCTTAAATAAGGATGCGGATTCTGAACTCCTCCATTTTTCTTCACTTTAATGATTGGAATTTGTTCATATACTATTTGCATGCTAAACAATTTAACTGAACGGATCGAATATGTTCATTCGTCCTTAAGAATAATGCGATTGATTTCTTATTTTCAACATATTGATAAATTTAAGTATTCGTATTGAAAATATTATTTTAAAAATTACGCTAGAAACTGAATCCGACGAGTAGGTATATTTTAAGTTTCTTAGTAAGAACCCGAAGCCTACTTAGCTTTTGTTTAAAAATTAAATTCTACAACCGATAAAAATAATGTACCTTAGTATCTATAGCGATCAGTGGTGTTATATGTAACTATAGACGAAACGCCATAGCGAATTGTAATTATTAAAATTACATTTGATGTGTATGTGTAAATAAAGTCGCACGCGTTTGATTAGTTTAAATGAATAAAGAAAAGTTGAGTTTCATTCGAGATAACCATTTTCGCACTACTTTATTATAAATTATTTTGTCCGTGTGTTCGGCTCAAAAACGACCTTTCGCTATGTTCTACATACACGTTCTGTTTTTGTTCAAATATATTGTATACAAATATGATAAAATAGTTTTCTCTTTTCACTGAAATTAAATCTTCTTTCCTCTGGTAACCGTCCATCTTCCCACCCCCTTGTTATACAATCAACATTTTGGGAAATTTACTCGAAATAAATTGTGTAAATTAGTATTTATAAAGCCATTTAGTCATATTTAATTCGTAGAACACCACTGGAACATAGAAGTAACCCGTACCTATGCCTGTATTGTTCTTAAAAAAAATAATTCAAAAAATGTTCCACTTATTTATAATAATTTGAAACAAAACACAGACAAGTCAGTTATCATTCTATCTTTATGTTTACATATAAAATCAAAGGTTTTTTTTAAATTTTTAAATTTTATTTATTTAATTATTACAGTATTTAAATTTTCTATATTTTTATATAAGTACAAGTTATATAATATAATTTAATGAAAATTAATTAATTGATTCTTTTTTAAAAATATTTACAATTCGTACAAACTTAGTATCCTATCTTATTATTTGTGTTATAGTTTTGAATAACTCCCATATATTTCATTACATTATATATTATAGAACTGGTAGGCAGTGACGTATTTAGCTTATTGTCGTCAATTTTTTACAGTCAGTTTTTTACAGAACAATCGTGGACCCTAGCTCATAAAAAAAAAAAAAAAACTAAAATTTAAATTTATGTTATTTTAAACACTATTATACATATTTTTTAGTATTACATTTTACAAAAAATGTAAAAAAACCAATGTAAATGAATTTACAATCCTTCACAAAATTGTCACCACAGAATTCAATATACAATATCTGACACAATATTCACCACTGCAGTATTGGATCTGTATTTTTTAAATTACATTTTTGGAAATTGAACACAATAATTTATATATAAGTAAGAAATCGAAAAGTTTTAAAATTAAGTAATTCCAGAAATTCCATGCATGACATTTTTTTTTTTTTAATTCGCTTAAAATATGAATAAAGATATATAGTCACGTTTCGTTCCAGTTTTCTGTCAGATGCACTAATATTAAAACCACTATATATAAGCTGTATATACTGTTATTTGCAGTGCCAGAGTAAAATAATTTTTTCTTTTATATTTTGAAACTCTTTTTTTTTTTTTTAGTTTCAAGATAAAGTTGAATATTTGTTTAAAAAAAGCTTACGATTTTACACTACCCTTTTTAAAGTATAATAATATGTCAAACTAATAAAACATTGTAATAATATGCATAACAATTTATCATTTAAGTAAAATATTATAACATAGTAATATGATTTTTTTTAATTAAAAAAATTACTATCAAATAATAATAATAAATCTATATGTGTACCAAAAATAGTGTACTTAGTTGTGTAATATTTTTATCGCATTCCCCCAAAAAATTAAGACATAAACTGCTCAATAGTCTGTCGATAATAATTTGTTTTCGTTATATATCTATCTTTTTCCCGCTACTTGTGTACAATTTGTATGTTTCTCTCTAGACCAAATGAGTTTAAACTCGGTAATTATAATCGTACAGGCGTATTAAGTGATCAAAGTTGGATTTAATTTCAGAATTATTTTGCGGGAGAAGTGCATTTTTCAATCTTTAAACAAAACCCTCAAAGAGAGGAACCAAAGAGATGGCATTTTGTTTAATATACATTGCGTCAGTGGCAACAGGACATTCCTTTTTGTGGTTTCATCTTTTAACTCCGCATCTACGAATTTCATGATCAACTTACGCCGCTTTCCCAAGAGTAGTATTATAGTTATAGTATAGTCGTTATACTGTAGTGTAAACATATTATTTCATTATAGTATTTAGTTATCCATTTTTTTTTACCAAGAATATTTTTCTAATTTTCATAAAAAATAGGTGTAGAAAAAGTCATCCCAAATAATGACTAGGTTTCGTTTCTCACGAGTGTTTTTTTTTTCAATCTATAAAAACGTCTATCATAAAATACTTAATATGAAAAATAATACTTTTATCGGATATAGAATCAACAAAGCTGGCATTATAATACCATAATACCATCCAGGTTTAAGGTTGGTATACAAAGAACTATTTTACTTCTAAGGATAGATAATTAAGATGTAATAGGTATTGCATTTAAATTTTTTATTTTTTTACTAACGTGGGGTACATAAAAGGTTAACAGAGACTCGTATAGTTTTCAAACTCGTGATATTATTATGATTATATGATTATATAAATGCCAACCTACAGAACATGCACTCGCACGTTTAAGTTTTGTTTTATCTGCAGTTCATGAAAACGGTAAATCATATTATTATTATTTTCATTCTAAGTAGAATATTTTGAACACATGTATATTTGGAAAACTGGCACGTAAAAATATACGCCTGAAACCACCATACTTTTCCAAAACACAAGTAAAAACATCTGTTTTTAACGAAGAATTTAAATATTCTTATTTTTTTAAACAACTTCGACTGATACGTTTTTTTCTATCTAATTAAAAACCAACAATTAAAGATATGTTAATTAATAATACGTACGTCAGAAAAACTTAGGTCGGCTAAGTTTCATTAATGACTTCTTGACTATAAGGCCATAAATACAAAAGACGGACATACTTCGCACCACAGGTGGGCAACTGTTGTAGCTGACATGTTAGCAAAGTAGGATATAAAGGAGAATTTAGTTTATATTTGTACGCAACGATTAACCATTCTTAACAAAAAAGATTCTGAGCGAAGGTCAGTCAATAGTATTGCTTTTTTTAACAATGTTCGTTTTAACGAAAAAACGATTGATTGAAAAGTATTTAAACAATACAAACGTAATAATAACAAAAATAAGTAAAAACGGTTGCCAATAAAAATTTTATTTTTATAATCTTTTAATAGTTTATTACCTTTAAGAAACCAATTTTTCTCATGATCTCGAATATAAATGAGAATTCCAAAAATTTACCTTTTTAAAATACCAACTAGAGCCAAAATGTAATAAAAAAGTTTTTTCTTGGTATGTTTCGATTGGAGCAAAATTTCAGAAACTTTGTATGCAGTAAAACAAAAATATTAATATATGTAAAACCCATATATTTCTCGCTTCGCTCAGAATCTAAAATATTATATTTTGAAGGATGCATCCATTTTTTTTCAATCGATTTAATAACTCCTTTTTTAATTTTTTAAAAATGTTCTAATTTGAATAAATTTCTACGAGATAAAATTTCTTGGACCTACTAACTGCTATATTCTGGAATGTCTAAGTTTATACAGGGTGATTTTTTTAACATGAATCAGTAATCATCTTAGAAGATTTTAAGTAAATTTGATTTTTGTTTTTTTTTTTAATCATTGCGGAATCGCTTAAACTATTTTTATCCTTAAATAAGTACATTAGACGCCGCTTATTATGAACACCGATAATTTATACAATTGTGTTACTGAAACAAAATGTCTCAGTACGGGCGGGCTGTAAATTAAAACATTGAAAATCGTTCGGGTTATTAAAATAATACGTCTGTTATTTGAAAGAAGAAGAAATCTATAATGTAGTTTTGAATCTTCAAACACTTGAACCTGCTGACACTGATGATGGTAGAAGAAGAAACAGCGAGAGACCTCATCGAATAAAGAAATTGCTGAAGCTCAAAAGAACAGTCTAGCATCATACAAATGAAAAAGGTGAGTAGCATTACTCTTATGAAGGCATGATAAGTTACTCAAGTAAAAAAACAGACATCATTTGATAGGTACATTTTTACATAACATGCAAGGTATTATAAAATGTAATTAATATAGAATATAATATGTTTTACAATTTTAAATTGGAAATTTTAAAATTTTTGTTTTTAATAGTATAAATAAATAAATACAGAAACTAATTGGATATTGGAAACCTATTGGAAACAATTGGCCAACTGTCATATTTCATCATGGTCCAGGAATATTTCTAATAAGCGTCTTTTGCTGTATATACTTTTGTTTTTTTCAAATTGGAACCCCTTTTTTTGAACAAAGATTCGAGTAGAGGATATTTGTTCTAGATATTTTTATAAAAAAAAACACTAGTCACTAGTCAGATTTATTTTTTCTGATTATAACCGTTTAAAGTTCAGTTCAGAAGAGTAGGGAAAAGTTATCAATTTATCATTTGAAATTAGATACACAATTTACTACCCTTCTCTACTCTCCGATTTAAATTGTAAACGGTTATAACTCATAAGCGGTAAATCTGATATTAATGTTATGTATATTAACAATTCTAGAAAAAATATTCTCTAGTCGAATCTTTGTTCAAAAAGAGGATTTACTTTTTTAAAAATAAAAGTATATACTTATTTAAGGTACATAAAATAAGGTAAACAATTTAAATTGGTTTTAAAATATAGCCTAACGATTTCGCAATGATTAAAAAAAAAAACAGAAATGAAATTCAATTAGAATTTTCCGAGATAATTTCTGGTTCGTGATAAAATAATCACTCTGTATATGAAGAAAAAACAATTTAGTTGATAATTTAAATTGAACTAAAATAAAATACTTTATGTACTAACTCTATGTATCTTACTTTTTCAAATATAACATTAACAGTAATTAGATCTTTTTTTTTAAATTTGCAATTTTACAATAAATTGTATTTATACTATATTAATATAAGTTTAAATAATACATTTTCAATTAAAAAATTCCGTTTACGTTTTTAAATATTGTTTTATATTTTCCATCATTCTCATTATTAAGCGGTTTTTTTAAAAATAAAAAAATATGTGTCTTCCATCTCTGGTACTTATAAAAAGTTTATCACGAGAACATAACCATTAACTAAAATATAACAGGGACTAAAATCGAAAACGCGCCTATATAAATATGGTATGAGAGGTTTGTTTCAACCTTTTAAATTCATATTTTATTTTTAACAGCTTTTGTGTTCTAATAAGTTGCAATAAAAAAAATAATAATTTAACAAAAAAACAAAATAATAACAATAAAGAAGACATTTAAGAAATATAAATATAGCAAGGAAATAATGATATTTATAAAGCTTTTGGTCGAACGTCAAAAATAAAATACTAGATACAGTTATTTATATTGATATTCATGCATGAATATGTTATGTAATAATGTTCATTAAATGGACATTAAACGTAAATTTGTCATCTTTATCTGTATTACGGGCTGCAGTATAGCAAAAATGTGTTTTTGAATTTTCAATCGGTACTCATGCCATAAAAACATAATTTGAAATATTTGATATTATTATTATTGTTTTTAATTAGTAATTCTCTTCTCTTTTGAGTAGCTTGTTTTTGATACTTTTTAAACCTTTTCGAACAATTTTTTTTTTAGATTCTAAACGGAATGAGAAATATATTTGAAATTTAACCTTTTCCTCTCCCATCCCTTGACTTCACATATAAATACTATAGTCATGGAATGATTTTAGATATACTTTAAATTCTCTTCTATATTTTACCTTCCCAATTTCTCACCTATAACAGTGGCCAATCTATGGTGCTAATTATGTCCGTATCTTTTTAGGTTCTGAGCGTAAGGAACTTTATTGGTTAATAAAAGTGCTTTCATTTGTTCACGCCATACCATAAAAATGTGCAGATTTTTACCAAATAATACTTTATTTGAAACATTTTTGAAATTTTTAATACTTTTTCGAAAAAATGTAAAAAGCTTACAATGAATAATGATACATTGGTTTTACTTTTGTTGACTTCTGGGTTTCAACGGAAAATAAACAGTGACTAATACTATAAACTTAACAGTTTACCGCGCTTTATTCAGAATTGTTTTTTGATTGAATCGTTGCTTTTAGTATATAAAATAAATTAACTTACATTTTACAACTATCCAACTTCCCATCAACAATAGTGGCCTATCTATGGGGCGAAGCATGTCCTAGTTGTTTTCGTTAAAACTAATATAATTGAAATTCAAATATTTAGCAACAAATTTTATATTATTTTCATATGACCATATTTAAAAATTTTTATACTTTTGAGTATTTTTAAAACTTATGTTAGTTTTTCAATTTGTTCGACCTTTCACTGCGGGAAAACCTTTTTACATGAATTCCATTATTATTATTGTTCATTCCGCAAAAATGAACAGCAATAAATTTTCACACAAACTTTGAAAAATTGGTTGGTTTTGTTATCCACATACGTCCTTATTAAATATACATGCATAATATAATACGATCTATCATGCTTTTTTAGTGATTTTATTATTCCAAACTTAATAAGTGTTATTATTTATGTTATAAGGCATAGATATACCGGAGCCATTCAGATGTTATGTTATGGGTATACACTATAGGTACAGTATATCTCGTTGGAAAATTAATAAATTGGATATTATATTATTTACTTCGAATAACTCTGATTTACCTGAACGCGCAAACATATAATATATTTACACAGATAAGCAGAAAGAACACATCGTACAAATCATATATTTGAAAAATAAACAAAATGTCAAGTGGTGTGCAGTTAACCTCAAGATAAATTAATTGGTAATTTCTTTGTTTTACACACGTGATAAAACTGAAACTTAAATAACTGTAAAAAAAAACAACATATATATATGGATAGGTGACATCTGTATTTATTATCTGCGTCAACGAACTTAAAAATTTGAGGCTGCAATTCGGTTCTTTCATGATAATAATATTTTTTATTAGTCCCCTCTTCTGTTTTTTTGACTTATTCAATTTTTATTTTTGGTTGGTAACGTTTCACAATTATTATAATTAACATTTTAGACATAATTTTTAGAGACAAACCCTGTTATCATTTTACCGATAAATACGCTTTACTGTTCCTCTTGGAACGCTGCATCAAATTTGAAAGCATGGAAGTGGGCAAGTGTCCTATCCATATACCTTTAATACCCAAGGAATCAGGAATCATGCGAAGTACCAACTATCATTAAAATTTTAGGTTATGTTTACAAATAATTCTGTTGTTATGAAACAAGGTGGAGCTAGAAATTACATAAAATGAAAGAGTACTTCTAAGAGGGTTATTCTGTGCTAGTAGTAAATAATTATAATAAAATAAACCAATCAACGGCAGAAAGCAGCGAGTGGATTTTAACAATCAATCGGACGTTTGTCATTGTTTTAAGCATATGCATATAGGTATTCGTAAATGTAAGTAGGTAATAATTAAAACGATAGACGATTATATAGTATAATAACAATTATTATGCCTGCACGGGTACGAAGAATTCGTGGGCGGCATGATGCAATGTACAGTAAAGATATAGATACTGGTATTTAAACCTACTCACTCGTATATAATATAATCGTCAACAATGTCAAAAAAATGTTCGGAGTCTGCAGTAATTATATTCCGGAAAATGTATACCTAACCGGAAATGCGCTCAGGCGAATTATTATTATTATTATTATCATTGAGAAAAACGAAAAGAACGCTAATATTTACGACCTTCGGTAAAACGGATTCGAAGACGAAGCGCCTATTGGATTTTGTCGTTTTGTACCGCAAACGTATTGTATAGGTAACAAGTGACGTCTAATAGTGTCATGTATACAATGCGACTTTTATGTCAACAACGCGAATACGGACCGCATTGATTCGCATTGAATCGGCCGCCGCGCTGGCCGCAACGTTAAGCCGGACGAATCCTGCGGGTTTACCGGTGACATAATCCACGAGGGCTCGGGAAATAATAATTTATTATCCGGACACATAATATTATACCTACCTATATTATTAGTATTATATCGGACACGTTTTAGCTTGTATAAAGTGATGTCACATCGGATCTACTCGGTGGC